GTTAGGGGTTTAGGGTTGGGGTTTGGGATGTAGGGTTTAAGAGGGCTCTAGGGGGGGTGGGGATTTACGGTTTGAGGATCCGCACTTCCTCGGTTGGCTAAAGTGCTGCGATGGCACAGGCAGGCATGCTTCTAGGATCCTTGGACAATGCCAGAATACACCATGGACATGTCATCTGAACTGCGGGCCTGCCCGTTATCCTCAACCCTGCGCTCTGAAGCGTAACTGTTTCAATTAACTTAAGACTTACATTCGAGGACGCTCCTCGATGCAAAATCCGCATGCGCGAGATCGCCGGCGGTAGCAAAACAGGAGCTTCACGAGCGTTCAAGATGGTTCCCATCGAACGCCCATAATAGCACGCAGAGGCTTTTGACCTAATTAGTTTTTGGGCTCCGACAGTTGCTTTTCATTCACATCACCCTTATAACCCTAAACCCTAAACCCTAAACCCTTAACCCTAAACCCTAAACCCTAAACCCTTAACCCTAAACCCTAAACCCTAAACCCTACACACTAAACCCGTAACCCTAAACCCTAAACCCTAAACCCTTACAGCTGTGTGGGACATGAAGCCCAGAAGGCGAGGCCGAGAAGTCTTGGCGGTCTGGGCTGCCACAGCCTTTCGCATCTAGTGATGATCCCTACACCCTATCCTAAGGGTCCATGTACCCATATAGTATGTACTTTGGCCTTAATATGTAGTCCCTATATAGGTACTTTAGGGCCAATGTTCTACTATTTGGGTACATGGGACCCTTAGGGCTATTCTCAACCCTGAATTTATCCTGGTGCTTTTGGATCTAGCTCGCGGATATGGCCGAGAGACCTTTGAAGCTTCCTTCCTGCATTCGGAGTTGGCCCCAGCCGAGGCTGACGTCACCGGCAGGTAAGGTCTTCGTGGCAGCCTCAGCCATAGTACCATAGGGCTCCAGTTACCAAAATGGTAGGTTACTAACCATATACTCTGTATATCCCATCAAACCTACTCAACCTACTCTTTAGGCAACTGGAGCCCTAAGGATACTGATGACTTGCCGCACCTACGTACAAGGCCCAGGGCTTTTTTTTGCAATTTCAGGTCTACTCCTGAAGCCCTGCTGCCGGAGTCTGCCAGGCACTCAGTGCGTAGACGCAGACTTGCAGGCTCAGGGTTTGCGAAACAGTCAGTGGGCTGTCGATGCACGCAGTAAGCCCATCCACACGTCATAACATGGATGCCAGGTGGATGTGACGTACCTCATTCGGGGTAGCCTCATGGTAGAAGTCAGGTCCACGAAGGCCTCAGCTGCTTTCACATGCAATGCGCGCTGACCTGCTACTGGCAGCAGCAGTAGCATTAGCAGTAGTAGGTTTAGGGTTAGGGTTTGAGGTTTAGGATTTAGGGCCTAATTTAGGGTTTAGGAAGCTCAGCTGTTGCCTGCCATGCTGGAAGAGCTTCCTCGGCACGCCAAATCAACAGGTCTTTCAGAAGCTTTTCTGCTTTCAGGCGAGCCTGCAGCAAACACAGCTTTTCCGCGGCGGGTGATTTTCTCCCTGGATTGGAAGCCGCGTGAATGTGAGTCAAGCGCTTGCTTGCCTGCTTGGGCTCCTTGGTTTTGGGCTGGTGTTGTTCAGTACATGGATCTAGAGACTCTCCTCACTTTGGAGCTTGTTCGCCGATGGCCAGAGACCTTTTTGTGTGAAGCGTTCGGAGGTTGGCTTGCGCTTGTGCATCGACTGGACGACGCCGCAGGAGCGATTGAGCATGTCTCCAGCGATTGTTCAAGGCTTCCCAGATGTTGGCGGGCATGTGGTGATTGCCGAGCCGCCCCACTTCTCAGGTCCATCCTTCAGAGTCCGGAAATGCTGATCCGGGCCAAGCAGTTTAAAGCAGCGCAAAGGGCAAAATGGCTTGCAGTTTTGATGGATGACCTCCCCTTGCATGCTTCTGTTTGGTTGGACAAGCCTCCGGTTACGGTGTCGCGCGGATCTTCTCTGCGCGGCTTCAATTGGAGGGAAGGCATCCAATCGTCGCTGGGCCTTTGGCCCGATTGCTACTGCCAACTTCCAGCCCGAAAAGGAGACACCTTCGAGATCATGTTGCCATTACGTTGTGGTGAATATCAGCTGAAGGCTCTCATTGGTCGTGCTCCACGGGGAGGCATTCTGCAGCTCTCACTCGATGATGAGCACGCAGGCACCTTTGATTTTTTTGCTGAGCAAAAGGAGCTTGACATGAGTTGGGAAAGTATGCAGCTCAACGTCTCTTCGACCAGAGTGCATTCGCTCAGGGCCACAGTCACGTCGAAAGACAACAGAAGCCAAGGATACAGGTGGTATATCAAATGTATTCTTATTCAGAGTGCTAATCTTCCAGATGAGATTTTCCGTTTGAGATCATGTGAACCCGGCTCGCAAGTCACCGCAATAGATCATGTTGTGACATGTGCGATGGATTGCAAGCACTGCTTCTTGAACGCCGAGTTGGGAGTGAAGGAGGGGATGGTGCAGGTGCTTCTAGACAAGTTGCGCTGCCATAGCAGCCATGGCTTTCAACGCAACATCTTGAAGTTGTTGCTTCGGCTCTCCTATGGTAGTTGCAGTCATGGGCCATTGGTCCGTGGACATGGGCCTTCGTTCGAAGAGGGGTGCGGACCCTCAGAGGCTGCTCTCGTCATGGTAGAAAATGGGGCTGTTCCTCTTCTCGTCGCACTCGCAGGACAGCAGGGTGACTTCGAGACCCGAAAGCTCTCTATTATGGTGCTGGGAAACCTTGCAGTGGACAGGCCGGCAACACAAGCTCTCGTAGCACAGGCTGTTGATCTGCCCAAGCTGCAGTTGGCGGCAATCTCGTCGAGCTCTGGTGCGCCGCTTGCCGTCTCAAGACTCGTACTCAACCTCTGCAGAAACTCAGCATTTCATTCGCAGTGCTGGCGTGACCATGGCTGTCACAACGGCGTTTGGGGGCCCTTACCGTGCCAAATCTTGTTGCCAGTGCTTCGCCTCATTGATCACATGTTGGCACTGCCGGATGCAAGTGCACAAGTTTTACGGCATGTTTGTTGGGCTGCTGGATATCTCGCGAACAGCCCTGACACGCACAGGGATGCATTGATTCAGGCAGGGATCGGCAAGTGGCTGTTCAGATTGGTCTCGCATCCATCTTTGGTTGTGCAGAAACCAGCCGTGATTGCTCTTGCTATTTTGTCTTCGAGACAGTTGCCAACCTCAGGCTGCATGGGGCATGCTTGGGTGGAGCAGCGGCGGCTCGGGCCGGCTGGCGTTGAAGGTTGGAACGTTACGCTTTGCTTGCAAACTGTTGTGATCGACGAAGCCGTGGCTTGGCACGAATCTTTCTGCACATGCCTGGTCAGCCATCTTGACCGAGATGACCTTCGTTTCGAAGTTTGCGCTCTCCTGGCAAGCTTGTTCACTGACAGGCCCGAGTCGATCGCCAGTGGCATAAGCACGACGTTAATCTCGAACTTGGTTGGCTGGGTTAATCAAAAGAATGGAACCGCTGCCCTTGAGCCTTTGGCGGCTGCTATTCGGAAGGCATCTCCTGAATTGGTCGCGCAGCTCTGCGATTGTGGTGTCGTCGGCTTCTTTGCATGGGCGTTGCATGGTTACTGCGAAGCCGACATTCTCTTAGCTTGCCGATCTTTGCGTCTCATCGTAGAGCACGGGGCCGAGGTTGCTTTCAGTACGCCTCTTTGGGCCCGCGCCACTCGAGAAATTTCCATGTTGGCATCGAGGGATTACAGCTTCTACCAAGAAGCTCACCCTGAGGCGCGGCGTTTGCTGGAGGCATTGCGGAAGCGTGGAAGCGACGGTCGCCCACCTGAGTCTTCAGGTGTAGATGTTTCGTTTTGTCATCAGAGTGCACAGCTGAGCGAAAAAAACAGTGCCACAGTTACTGGTTACTATTACTATTTTTCTATTATTGCCACGGAGGCAAATCCACAGCGGCATGTTGCATCCTGTGAGGACGTCAAAGCTTTCCCTTCCGCCCCAAACGTTGCACTGTTCAACCTGGCCGCACGCTGTCACCCTACGGGGTCCAAGAGTTCTTAAACCCTAAACCCTAAACCAGGTGCTTTGCGAATGAGGCTGTCAGTTTCGCTTCGGCACCCAAAGTGGTGCCAGCATCAGGTTAGTTATCATAAAGTATGGCATTCAAGCTAGGGCTGCTGCCTTTCATCAAGAAGCCCTAAAACGTTTAACCCTAAGCCCTAAAATGGGTGGTTGTCAAAATTATGGTCCCTTTTTGGGTCCTTATTATAATACGGCACCTATAATTTAGGGTACCCCAAAAGGGACCATAATTTTGACAACTACCCAAAGTCTACACCCTGAGCCCTAAGCTTCTTCAAGCTTGGGTTTCGGCAACCTCAGTGGCTCGGTTTTCTACGAGCTTCGGCTAACCCTGAACCCTAAACCCAAAACCCTAAACTCCCATATCATAAGAATTCCTTCGGCCCTGCAGCCTGCGAGGTGTCGACCCCTCCAGAGAGCGAGTTAACTCGTTAATGCGCAGCGCAGATCCTGCAGTGACCTGCAGATGTGAACGGTTTAGGGCTGAAGGTTGAATAGCGGCATTTGCCAGAATCGTTACGAAACCCTGAACCCTAAACCCTAAATAAATTCTGGCTCAGACAAAGCAAGACGTGAAGCCAGGTGAGAGCTAGAAGACTTGAGAAAGACTGCACACTATCTGGGTTTAGGGTTTTGGGCTTCAGGGTTTTTTAGTTCAGCGTGTATCGTCACTGCAGGGTTGGCACGGACTCGATTTGACTACGACGGTGCAGCATAAAAAAGAGCAGTTAGATGGGAGCGAGACTGTCCATGCTTGCCGCATTGCATTTTCCATTCCAGCCCGTCCATTAGCTCGTCGGCAGCTGCATCCATGCTTTGAGACAAACTGCCAGGAAAGGCTCATGCAGTCTTTATTCCAAGTTCAACACACCCTGTCAGAATGGTCAGCGACTGAAACCACCAGCCAGGCCCTGACATTCCAGGCTCCTACAGTTGCAAGGGCCACTTCGCCTCTGAGCATCCGTCACATGGAGTCGAGATGTGGCCATCTGGCAAGTTGCGTCGTGGCGAGGTGCTGGGGAGAGAGAAAAATTCTAAACTCATACTTTCCCTGAGCGTCATCTCCTAGACTACCACCTTCCCGCCACGGTATGCGCGCCCCAGCCTTGCTGCATTCTTGTTCCAAGCTACGTGGCCTTACGCCCCATAAGTCACAAGCAGACTCAAATTGTTCTCCTTCCTCGACGACTTCCGTCCCAACTCTTATGCAGAACTTCCTGGAAAATAAGTTCTCAGACACTGAACTGCATACAAACTATCCAGAGTAACCCTTGGTAAAGTTACCCATCATAGTGACTCTTTTGTAGTGTAGCTATATTGCCGACTGGTTGATCCCAAAACCCTCACACTCAACATTCTGTCTCGGAGGAGCCCTAAACCCTAAACCCTAAACCCAACATTCTGTCTCGGAGGAGCCCTAAACCCTAAACCCTAAACCGTAACATTCTGTCTCGGAGGAGGCTGTGCCGACAGTCGATCTCGTGGCAGCCCTGGAGGTAGCTGTCGGGAACTGCTTCGGGCTGTAGAGTCGAGCAACAAGTAGCAAAACATATAGGGTTTAGGGTTCAGGGTTCAGGGTTCAGGGTTTAGGGTTTAGGGTTCAGGGTTTAGGGTTTATGGTTCAGGGTTTAGGGTTTAGGGTTTAGGCTCCAGGGTTCAGGGTTTCGGGTTTAGGGTCGTCTAGGGTTTAGGGGATATACCAATGTACAGCCAGTATGATCTACAAAGTTTCGGCCATTACGAAACAATGCCACCCCCGTAATAGAAAAAGCATGAATCCCTATACTATCCTTGCTGGACATTTGCAAACCCTCATAAAATTTGTAAACAAATATGAAAGCCCCGATTAGCGCCTAGAAACCCATTACAAACCCACCTTCACAACACGAATTTCCTAGCAGACCTCTGCAAAATCCTACAACATAGGCCACCAAACCTTGGAACACTACCTACAGCCTTAACCCCTAAACCCTAATCGGCCCTAATCTCTAAACCCGAAACCCTACAACCCATAAACCCTAAACCGTGTAACATAGCCCACTAAACCTTGGGACCCTAAACCCTAAACCCTACACCCCTAAACCCTAAACCCTAGACCCCTAAACCCTAAACCCACTAAACCTTGGGACCCTAAAGTGCCTTCAGTTAAGGCAATATGAGGGACCCGCAATCCTACGACCCTATATAACCCTTATGTACCCCTTATATAGTCTCATAAAGCCCCTATATAACCCCAAGGGTCCCTTTAAGGGTCCCTCCTCCCTAAACCCTAAACCCTAAACCCTAAACCCTAGGGTCCCTTTAAGGGTCCCTCCTAAAGTCCCTTAGACTTCAGGCGCCTCGCAGCTCTTGGAGCGACCTCGGAGCTCGGGCGGAGGAGCTGCGGCCCGAGGTGCTGGCGCGATGTTTTTCGTTGAATCTTCGGTATCTGGGCTTAGGGTTTTAGGGTTTAGG